TGTTATTAATATTATTATTATTGTTGTTGTTGTTGTTGTTGTTGTTGTTGTTTTCGTGGCAGTTGTCGTTGCTTTTATTAGTATTATTGTATCAAAGCTGTTTTCATTTTATTGTCAAGATTTTAGAGCTTATATTTGAATTGCAACAAATTATAACAAATTAAATATTAAATTAAATTCGCCATTACGTACAGTAATAACATAATGTAAAAACTTCATCAACAAATTTATCGCTCAACGAATAATTTTACGTTATTATAATAATCTGTCAAAATATTGATTTGAATGAAATATTCATGTAGTATTTTCGCCGGTTTTAATTAAATTTATAAAATTAATTGATTGTTCGATTCTTATATATATATATATATATATATATATATATATATATATATATATATATATATATATATATATAACATTTTATATAGTATTTTTAATGACTTTTGAAAATCGAAAAATGTTTAAGATATCATTTCCATTAATGATGCATTATTAAACAAGTCTCTCGACAATTTTGATAAAATACTTTATTAATCTTAATTAAACTGACATGCAATTAAATTGCAAATTCCCCTCAAATCGGTAAAAGCCATTGTATTGATATATTAAAATATCTATTTTATTAAAATAAATATTGAAGTTTTTAAATTGGAGCATTCGAATACATTCAAATTGTAAACCCGTGTAATTGTAAACATTCTTTACTATTCGATAAATATTCAATGTTAAATATAAAATTATTAATTGCATTCTTAGGCCACGTATACACTCATTTGTTTTCATTTATTATGAGAATGATAATTACGAATGTTAATGTTTTATATTACCGGTATTATATAAATGTTATGGTAATGTTAAATGTTTCGCCGTATCATGAATACAAGAACAAATAAGTGTCATGGAAAATTTTACAACATTTCATAAAGTACAGTGGAGAGAGAGAGAGAGAGAGAGAGGGGGGGGGGAGAGAAGAGGAGCAGAAAAATAGAGATAAATTTGAAGAAAGCTCGCGGGAATGAAAACGAACGCCCGAGCGTCGAGGCGCTTTAATAAAATTCAATCTCTTTCGTGACAAAAGAGTCAGACCCTTGGGGAAGGTCGCGCCAAGTGTATTCCGAAGGGTGAGAAACCGCAGGGACAGTTTTTCCGAAACGCCCACCCTCGGAAAATCAGAGCTTGACATCCAACCGATGTCGTTGCGGGGAAAGCCATCGTCGAGCAATAATAGCTTTTATCACTGTTCGCACGGCCGTTCACCACCATATTGCAAGCGTCATCCATTTCTTTTCCTCTCTCGTTACGCAACTATTCGTCTATATCCCTCATTCTCCTCTCTCTTTGTTCTATGATTTCACATGCTTACCACTTAGCGCTTTCTCGTCGCCATTTCTACGTCTTGCCAATTTCAACTTTGAATTAACCATTGCCGCGAACCATTGCCATCATCCAAATTCAATGTTGCTTAGTGAATTACGGGCCTAGTGAAATGTAGTGGCCGTAATTTCGTCTATATGAGCTATTGTAGCACAGTCAGTCGATTAATCGAATGATTAGTTCGATAAAATTAGCATTAGTCCTTAGCTCGCTCTCTGTCGATTAAAAGTCATTTGTTTATTTGTAATAGATGCTGCTTGAAGGACATTGGCCGTCACGATGCAGCTCAAACCTTCTAATCGTTTGAAATGCTTTTCACGATATTCACAACTACAGAGCGACAAATTGCAATTCGTTTGATTTTAGCAATTATAGAGTATCTTTAATGATTTCTAACCCGTCGTCATTCGCCCGAATAGCAGCGTAAACCAATAATCATCGCGTGGAAAAGACGCGGTTAAAAAGCACATAAGAGTATAGTTTGGAGCGGGAAATAAGATAAATTTAACGAGATATCGGCATAATAATTTAGCTGCCGGATATACTGGCTTGAGAGCGTGATATTTCAATATCAAGATATAAATCAAGTGTGCATATCATGCGTCTCTTTGCATTTTCCGATGACTGTCGAAGCGATCGGCAACCCCGAATCTTTTATTAAAAAGTTTCTACGTGACGGGTTTGCTATGCAAACTTTGACTCCATGGCTGCGAGTAGTGCCATATGTTCCACGTGGAATTCATAACGAAGACGAATAGCGCGCGAGGCCGGGAGAAATAGAGAAAGAGGTGCGAAGCGAGGAGAAAAAGAAGCGCCGGCGAATCGACAATTATATGGGGTGAGCAGGAAAATATGTATAAATTTCTGAATAATCCGAAGTTTAGAGTGGAGCATGCATATATGGTCATCCGTGAATACGCTCGACGGTTCAAATTCAAATTCACCTGAATGGTGAAAGGAAGTAACCGGGCTTACGTGATGGAAGATTAAAAAAAAAAAAGGAGAGAAACAGAGAAAGCGTCTCAACAGTCGACAGGCTCGTCATAAAACCAGTCGAGGACAGTTAAACGACCAATGGCGGTCGAGTCATGGCGCGTTCGAGGTGTGAATTATACATGAGGGATATGGCATATAGTGAGTGAGAAATTCAAGCAAACAGACAGACAGACGGGGACACACGCGCATACGCACAAGCGCATACGCACAAGCGCATACGCACAAGCGCATACGTACAAGCGCATACGCATAGACACGGAAGAGAGAGAGAGAGAGAGAGAGAGAGACAGGCTCTTACTTCGCTAGCAATTTATTCACTTGATCATATACCCGACAGCCGGTGCAGCGTCAGGCTGCCAGCCTCCGAGGAAAATGGAAAATATATCCGTAATCCGTACGATCAATTACATAGACTCTTTTCTATATTTTTCGATTTTTTCTTCATCTAATTTTCCCTTTTTTTCTATTTAGTGCGAGCGTTACGAGACAGATAATTATCATTTCTTCTGAAACTAGCATTATTTTTCTTAAGCTCATTATTAAATTCACGTATGCATTCTAGTTTTAATGAAAATTCCTATAAAATAATATGGCATTAGGAAATATGTGAGTGATAAATTATTTAGTAGAATTAAAAAATTTGGCCAAGCACAGGCAATCTAAATGAAAATATTATCTTCAGCAATTTTCTACATATATAAAAAATTGTCATAGTGAAGTTTAAGAATCACCATTTTATTTTTCTATACCATAAGTATTAACATCATTGAATAATAATGTAGTATCGTTACTTTTAACAATTGTTCGCGATAAATGTTTAATAAACTTACATCAATTACAATTGTCTAATTAATTCACACAAACGTGCGCGCACGCGCACGCACACGTCTTTCAAACAATCCAATGTGAGTGATGTTGAGATTAATTTTGGTAATTATTATTGTATGTAATTAATAATCATCGGTGATATGTAGTAAATGCGCACGTTCACACAAACATCGTATAGTACGTACAAAGCAATTTGTTACTCTTTTTATTTTTGTTAAAATAGCAAAATAAAGCTCGTGCTTGTTAAAAAAAAAAAAAAAAAAAAAAAAAAAAAAAAAAGAAAAAGAAAAGGTTTTAGAAGGTTATGATAGATAATAGTTTCATTCGGAGGAGACAGAGTTTTATCAAGAATAACCGTATTGTATTCTATAATGTCATTCCTTGTCAAAGAAAAAATAAGGGGCATCCAGGTGTGTGTGTGTGTGTGTGTGAAAAAAGCTTCACCTCATGAACTATTATCATCGACAACTATGCTCATCGACTGTCCTCATCGACTCCGAGCCATAAATTCCCCGGTGGCGGTGGGAAGGGGGCGGCGGTGGCTCAGGTGAGCGTATTCGCACGCAGTCCGAGTGTCAGCTCGGCGTGGCAGTGGTCTGATGTCAGCAGCTAATGAACTGGCATCGCCCGATTAAGCCCCCCCCCCCTCCGCCCGCCCACACCCAATCCCCATGACCCGTAAACGACAGCCGGATCTGCTGGGATATTCCTATTTTTCCTTGTTTTAGTGGGAGCCAGGATGTTGCCCCGTTGTTTATTTGTAACCTCCCCTCGGTCGTTCGAGTGCCTTTTGATGATTTTCACCGTACGATTGGCCGACCACTCGCTATTCCGAATATTTTGGCTAGGGGTGGCCCGCAATAATTGTTGGCGCGCGAGTACGCTTGTGTAGTTGGAGAGACGCGAGTTTGTACGGACAATTTTTGTTTTTCGTTTTTTTTTCTTTCTTTCTTCCTTTTTTTTTGTTTGTTTTTGTTTTTGTTTTTGTTTTTGTTTTTGTTTTGTTTTGAGAGAGTTGGCGCTGTCGAGGTAACGCGAGGCATACATTATTTATGTTCCGCTTAATGAAATTAACGAGATGTAATAGTTAGTCAACTGGGTTATTCAAACGAGTTGCATAAACATTAACGTACTCGTTTCATTCCTTTCTTTCCATTTTATTTCGTTTTGTCGGTGGTGTTTTCTTTTTGTTTTCAGCTCGTTTGTACAACCAAAATTCTTTACGATATCGATAATGTCGGCGTTGGATCTATCAAGGGAATTATAATAAGTATGGAAGAGGAACGTGTGAAAGCTGATGCAATTGAAGAGCAGATTAATCGAGAGCATATTACTTTCTATTGATTGCTATTGAACGGATTTAATTGATCATAAATGCAGAGGGAATTTGTTATCTCATCTCGACAATCAGTGCTCTAATAAGGCTATTAAATGGCACGCATCGACATTATTAATGTTTAGCTGAATTTTAGTATGAATTTTTTTCATACAATTCAATATGATGACGGACTGGTTGAAAATTACGATTAACAACACAATTGATTATACATCGATAGACATTAAAATGTATATTGTATTAAAAGAACTTATATTGTCCTTACACCGTGTATATGTGTACGTAGACAATTAATGAAAACGTATATTAAAATTTCATGTAAAATGTCGATTACGCGTGATTGTTTAGTTACTATTTTTAGATAATTATTGCACGAAGCATAGGATTTTCGTCGAGACAAGAGTCTTAAATGTTAAGTAAATGTTAAGATAAATGACGAGGAATAGTAAAGTGCAACACTGACTTGGGAATCCTTGAGTCCGAGCTTCTCGGCGAGCTTCTTGCGATCGGGTTTGCTGATGTACTTCTGGAGCTGAAACCTCTTCTCGAGTCCGCGCCTCTGAAGGTCCGAGAAGACGGCCCGTCGCATCATTCCCCTCCGTGGCTTTCCCCTCGCGCTGCCCGCCCAGGGGAAGCCGAGGCTCATCCCCGTGAGCTCCCCGAGGCTGCCCTGCATCGCACCCGGGAAGCCCGCGGCTCCCCCCGGGCCGCCAAGCTGGTGGTTCCCGCCTCCTGGACTCGCCACTGTTCCGCCACACACGAGCAATCACGTATTACATTCTCTTGCATTTTTTTTTGCTCGTTACGTATTAGTTTTATGGATTATGGTTTGCTCGCAGGTGAGATTTATTCCACGTAGATTATTAATTAAGCCGACTGGGTGTTAATTGTGATTAACGCGTCCGTTTTATCGAGATAGATTACACTCGGGAGATTATAATTAGCTCGGTCATCTTGTTTCAATCTGATAATGTTTATCGATAAATTTATTTATTTAAAACTCTATGTACGAGACAGCAAGGTTTGTTTGTTAAACTTGAAAGAAAATTATTCGTCTTTTTTTCGCGTTATAATTATTAACGAAATATTGCAATAATATTAGCAAACATTTAAATATTGCGGGCGAATTAATAACGATTGTTTCGCATAAAATTCTGCTCCGTTAAAGAATAGAAGAAAAAAAAATGCATTTGATCTTTTATGGAATTGTAAAATAAATTGATAAGCCTGCGTGTCATAGAAATGATACAATACTCGCTTCAAAAAAAAAAAAAAAAAAAAAAAAAAAAAAAAAAAAAAAAAAAAATGTGTTACATTGTTCATTAAATTACTCGAACCTTAATACGATGGACCATAATATATGAGTCAAGTAATATTCAAGTATGTGTCAATTAGCGAGACTAGGCAAGACAATTGAGTTGTTGTATAATTCAGTACAGTGAACCCTAATGATTTGATAATGAGATTTCCATAATTGGTGGAACGTGCGTCTAAATACTGTGATCGAGAATTTGTGTTAAATATTATTAATAAATGCCTAACCATATTATCACTGGCCGCAAATGCCCCACATTTACGTATTGTTTGTTAACAGTGTTTAGTATTATTTTAGTCATCCAATTAAATTCTAGTGATTGAGAATGAGTGACAATTTGTCGTATATTAATTCAATTATCATAGCTAAAAATTATCAGTTTTATGTTAACAAAAATAATATTAAATTTACCATTAAAAAGCATTTTCCTTAATTATAATTTCATAAAAAAAAGTATTCACTCATTTCAATTTCCATAATATATGATTTTTCACAATTTCTAATTATAATGATTTATTATTATTATTATTATTATTATTATTATTATTATTATTATTATTATTATTATTAATATTATCATTATTAATATTATCATTATTAATAATATTATCATTGTCATCATCATAATTATCATTATTATTGTAATTTATACTATTAATATAAATAACGGAGATTCGTTTGCGCGGAATAAAGTCGATTTATATACATCAATACACTATTCAATAAATTTGAATGGAAACATATAATAAATAATTGAAATATTTACATTTAGGTCATATACTTTCATCAACTTAAAATCTTTTCTTTCGTGGCCAATTTACTTTCGAGTCGATCGAAGTTTATACATCGTAGAAGCTTTCCTAAAAGGTCAGCAAACAATACGCCAATAGTATCTGTTGTCTCTCTTCTTGTAACGCGATCCAATTATTATTATTACTACGACTCATCAACGTTATTCCGTTTGACCATTCGAATTAATAAATCACGAGCATTTACCGACTATTATAAATAGTATATTATGGTGGATGTGACTTTACGCTCATTCATATTTCCAAGCGAATTTCTACTTGTATGGTGGTAAGGTATAGCAGGTTCGATGTTAAAGTCGAAAAAAATTATTTCCCAACAAAAATTAATACAGAGACTCCCGATAATGTGAGATCCTCATCGACCGTCATCTCGGCGCGCGACTCAAGACATCCCAAGCGCTTCCAAGCGGCCGATCCTCGTCGTCGTTAATTTTCCAAATGATCAGCGCCTCGTTCGTTACTTATCGAGTCAAGTCGAGTCGAGTCGAGTCGATTATCCGCCCACAAAGCCAATCAACACTATCAGCCAACCCGGGCAGGCCAGTGATCGTGATGATCGTAATGGGCAAAGGGAGACCCGTCAGGTGGTATTGGTGGTGGTGGTGGTGGTGGTGGTGGTGGTGGTGGTGGTGGAGTCAACGCACGTTCAAGTGCTTGCTATCTTTCCTCTATCCTCTCGCAGATCCATCGGCATATATCCCTGGCGCACTTGTTGCGCACAACAATAACGCGCGACTGCACTCTGTGCGCACTCCACCGGCCGGTTATTGTAATGGGACGCGGGTGCGTATATTATACACGCGGCCGTTTAGCTTTGATGTTGGCCGATGAGGCGCCTCGTCCTCGTTAAAGGCGCGAGCCCCGTCGGATTGATTATCTATCGCTACCTCTCCGATTTCACGCGATCCATCGCGGTTTTCCGGACTTTAAAGCTTTCGTATAAACGCCCGCTCGGATGCTTTTTTTCCTCCGCAACCCTTACCCCCCCCCCCAATCAATCCATCAATCCATCAATCCATCAATCCATCCATCCATCCATCCATCATCCTCCTCCTTCGCCTCCTCCTCCTCCTCCTCACCCGCCTGTCCCCGCGTTTTCCCAAAATTTTCACGTACTATCTACCCATTGCGCGAATTGCGTTCGAGCTCCATCTAGATTTACGCTCGGTGAACGCGGGCGTTTGCGTCGTATATTAAAGCGCGCGCGTGTGTTTATTTGGGGATGAGGAGAGGAAAAAGTAAGCGCACGTGCAATGGATATTGTCGAGCTGCCGGACGAGTAGTAGGTGAGCGAAATTTAAATGGCAACGTTAGGACTAATCGTTGGGAGTGCGGGTGAGGGTGAGGGTGGGGGGGGGGGGGGATGCAATCAATGTACGTAGCGAGTGGTGTCGACGAACATGTAAAACAAGTTGTTGTTAGTAGTCATGTTGTTGTGAAGTTGAATGAACAGTGGACGTTGGATATATAGTTAAATGTTAAATTATTATGGTGGCGGGAAAAATGATGAAATTGTTGAGCGAAGCGTCGGAAGTGTTCGACGGAATGAAAAGTGCACGTATGGCCGTGATTCGTTTACGAAGACTAATCGAATAAAGATTCGATGATTGCGCGCATTGATAACGACGATTGCCAGATAAGCAATGTGAGCATACTCACCGGTCAGATAAGGAGTTCGGCATCCGAGTAGCTGATGCAATGTGTGATGGGCGTTGGGTGGCAAGTGATGCTGAGGCGGATGATGGCCCGGATGAGGCGGATGGTGTGGATGATACGCCGCCGGCCTCGCTATCGGCTTCGCTATGTTGTAACCTGTTGAATTTTGTAAATTGTGGAGGAATGCTGGCAGGGCTCCCGGTGGTATGCCCTGAAAGTGCTCTGCAACAAACAAGTGCCGTCGTTTTTTAAAGGGAAAAACAATGTACGATCTCGTTTTGTGATTGGCTGCATTTGAATAGAGTCGATGGAGATGGGACTGATAAGATATGGGACGGATTGCTTATATATATTTTAGGGAAGGATAATCAATTGCTATTAGTATTTGTAATTGCCTTGTATAAGTTAGCCGTTTCATTTGTTAAAATTTACTTACGTTTAAGGTCTTGTATATTACATAATGTATGGCAATAATAATACACACGATTTAGGCTAATTAATGAGATATTTTTATTGGATTGTGGCTGACAATGAATTTACGTCATTAGTTATTAGCGATTAGGGGCTCAGAGAATATAAAGCCAAGTTGTTCGGCATATATTTTCATAAATTTTTCATATTCGTAACACGTGCCGGTACGTAGGCAATAAATTCGTACGTTCGAGTAACGAAAAATGATGTCCGTGAAGCATTGCTGGTGTACGGGCCGAGTTAGTTATTTATAGAGTAAGTCAAATGATTGAATTTTTCGATAGTGTTTGTAATTACATGATTACAGCACATTTATTGTAAATTTTAGGCATAATGTAAATGCATTTTGATCGGATATTCGATAGTTGAGAGTCAATTAAAATCTCTTCTCTCTTGTACGCGAATATACGATTGATTCATCAATGCCGTGAATGCACAAATTACCCTCTTATTTCTAATATCGCAATAAACAATAAACAATAAATATTTTCTATAATTTTCCTTGCTCGTCGAGGAATTTAATTAACGTATGATTCTAGAATTTTAAGTACTCGTGATAAACTTGGGAGAAAACATCAGGCGGGTTTCGCTTTAACCTTTTAACTCCCACCCTCTTACGCCATCGCGCCTGTCTCGCTTCTCCTTTTCGCTCAAGGTGAATCCGAGCAAAGAGTAAAATAATTTATGAATACACAAGAGGTGCCTGGAGCTTAATAGCTGGATTTCTTGACAGGCGTAATTCGGTAACGCTCGGCAGCCCCTTCAAAGAAGGTTTGGGCTCTCTCGAGCAGCTCCGGCTGCTTTAGACCTTCCGATCTTGTTCTACAGCTCAACACCCTTCGACGACGAGAAGCGAGAAGATCATTTTCCAGCTTTTCAGGCAATTAATTTTCACGGCATTGCATTCGACGAACGAACAAAGTTAACAACGTACGATTATCTTATAAACTGGATACCGCGATGTTTCATGAAAATTCGAAGAAAAAGTGTTTTGTGTCGTCGTCGTTGTCATGATCGATGTTGTTATTACTACTACTACTGTCGCTACTACTGCTATCGCTACTACTACTATTTCTACTACTACTATTGCTGCTACTACTACCACCACCACTACTACCACTACTAATACCACTATTATCTATTACATTCGCACATGTTCATTCGTATAAAATGTAATTGTACATTATATGCTGTACAATTATTCGCTTATCCAAGAAGAATTCAATTTAATCGTACAATTATCGAGTGCACAAGACAAATAATGCTTAATAGTAAATTATAAATGTGCATTGTTATTAATGAATGATTAAATTTAGGGAAACTCGATACTTTATTAATTCTAAAGTAGAAAAAATATGAAAATATGTTGTCTTTTATTCCTAGAGGTGCCGACGCTCTAGCATCCATTCATTTTAATAAATTAATCTACAATTCATAATAAAAACTACATTCGAACGTGCAAGTTTCGCTGACGTGTATTAAAACGTAATTCCGCGTGTTTATATAAGGATTTTACATCATCTTGTGAAAATTAATAAGGAAAATGTAGATGCGGGCCTTGAAAACTGAAAATCTACCCTTAAATATTCATGTCGAGCGTTAAAAATTTATGCTATGTAAGGGCCAGGAGCCTTCGTTATTATCGAAGGTATTCATCATCGTGGTTCGCCGTTTCGAATGCGGAAGCTCAAAAATCATTGAAGCAAACACAATTCGTAATGGGTGGCGCGTTGGTCGTCAACTTTATTAAAACGAAAAACGAAGCGATTCGCCAGCTCTGTAAAGCGCGCGGCTTGTCATCAACAACAAACCAATTACGTTATTTGTTACAGTTTTATTCTTAAAGTTATATTTTCGCTTTACGGCCCTCTATCATTTCATTGAACATTCGCTATCGCCATAGATGGCCTTGGACGCATTCTACCATTGTCTTCGCCGCTGAAAATATTCGCGCATCCAGCAACAGATAGTTCGGCGTCTATTTTGCCAAATACGCGCCGACTTGCAGTCTTATCGAACTCCCGGCCCAGCCGATAAGGCCCACATCGACGCTCATCAGCCACAGCCTCGACAACCTCAACTCCCGTTGAATATCCCTTTCCCAACCATTGCGCGGACTCGTTAGCATAGTCGCGATTAGCATTCATAGATCGTTTCGCGAGGACAAGAGCTCAATGAATAAAACGTCGTCCCTCTCGAGCTGCCGCCCGAAAAAAAATTCGACACCGTCTTACCTGACGCGATGTTTGACGGCAAAAGAAGGGCGGACCGCGAAGCGAAAGGAAAACATCCTAAGCAAACATCGCGGGCACGGTGACTCGTCGTTAATTGTGCGCGAGTTCACGAAACACAAGCTGCAACATCGAATGGCCCGTGCATTTTCCCATACGTTGTCCGCACGATCTACCGTAGCCCCGGAGCCGCTGCGGTGGTCTGGCGCAATATAACGAAGCGCGATCGACCCTCTCCCTCCCTTCCCTCCCCCTCCCCCTCCCCCCATTACATTATCTTTCCCTCCCCTTTCCATTCCCCTTTCCATCCCAGCACCATAATCCTTAAGAATAACTGCGCGCGATTTCGTCGAGTTATTGTGCACGGAGACGGAGATTAGCTTGCCGGGAGAGCGGATCGCCCGATCGATGGATCGAACGTTCCAACGAGACGTACGGATTACCTATATTTTTCTACGAGAGCTCCATTGTCAACGTCCGAGAGATAAAGATAGATAAAGAGAGATGTAGAGAGATAAAGAGGAATAAAGAGAGAGAGAGAGAGAGAGAGTGAGAGAGTGAGAGAGTGAGAGAGTGAGAGAGTGTGAGAGAGAGTGAGAGAGAGTGAGAGAGAGTGAGAGAGAGTGAGAGAGAGTGAGAGAGAGTGAGAGAGAGTGAGAGAGAGTGAGAGAGAGTGAGAGAGAGTGAGAGAGAGTGAGAGAGAGAGAGAGAGAGTGAGGGGGGGGGAGAGGGAGATAAATACGTATAGAGCGTTATTTTTCTGATCGTACGAGACAAATTCAATGTTTATAAAAGTACGTGGGTAAATGGCCTTGTTGTGCCGTCGAACAAAGTTAATAGTCCCCGGTTGTTCGTGCGAGCATTTATTATCGACGACTACCATTTAACTCGCGATTAAAAGGGTTGGCATCGCTCGCGCGTGTTTATATTAAAGCCGAGCAACGCTTTGTCACGTCAATATCGACATAATAATCCCAAAGTCGAGGCTCGAATCCCTAATGAGTGGCTGGCTCGTAGGAAGCGCGACCCGAAGCGCAAAGCTCCGATTGTTGCATTGACCAAATTGTGCCTGTTTGTTGATAATGGGGGCAAGGTAGGAGAAGCCACGACTCGACAATGACGAGCATTCGGATTTTCCACCACGGATGCCCGCACACGGAGGCGAGTAATCCGAGCCTGTTTACTCGACGTCCTCCTCGCTATTCATGCACAAGCGATATAGAGTGTTGGTAAAGGAGTTTCGGTGGCGCAATGTGCCGAGTCGGAGCACACTCGAGATGCGCCCCGAGATAATCTCTCGCGTAGGCAGACAATGAGAGATGAGCAAGGGAGAGGCCACAACTGTAACAACAGACTCGACGCGGCGGGGATAAATAGCTCGTGAAACCGGGGCGGATTTAAAAAGCCGATTCCCATTCAGTGTTTCCGTTGGATCCGCACCAGCGCACCGGCGGCGCCCATTGGTTAGCCAGGGACGAGACGACGATAAAAGCCGACGAGCATTTTATAGGGTTTGCGCACAGCCGCTGCTGTTGCTGCCGCTGCTGCCGCCGTTGCCACTGCCGCCACCACCGCCACTACCGCCACTGCCGCCACTACCGCCACCACCGCCACCATCGCCACCGCCGACGTCGACGCCGACGCCGACGCCGACGCCGATCCGACAATGGGACGAAGCCGCTGCTCTCTTCTCGGCTCGTCTCACCCCCGGCTTTTTTCTTCTTCTTCTTTTTTCATTTTTTGTTGTTGTTTCCATTCCGTCCCACCCCCCCCCGGCCCCCACCCCGGCACCCACCCCGGCTCCCGCCCGTTCCGTATTGTGCAACGCCCGGCCAAATAATAAGCCCCCGTTATTTTATTATTTCCAAACACGTATTTGCCCTTTTTGTGCGCTCCGGTGGGCGTGGCGCGCAGTTACTGCGAGACGGAGACGGAGGCTCACCCTCCGCGGTCCAACCCCTTTGCGGCGCGGCCTACGGTTAAGCGGCTCACTCATTGTTGGGACGGACGGACGGCCGGTGGATTCTCGACATTCCTCTTCGTCTCCCGTGTCTGCTCCCCTGGGCCGTCGTCGTCGAGTCCTCGGCTCCGATGACGATTGATGCGAATTTGCCAAACGCGCGCCCTCAAGTGGCTACCCTCTTAGCTCCTTCTTTCACTTTCGAGAGAATGAGGCGACTACGCCATATTGAGACAGAGAGAGAGAGAGAGAGAGAGAGAGTGAGGGAGAAGAGGTGCGCACACGTGGGGAGAGCGCCTTGCCTCTAATCGTGAGAAGGAGTCCATCCCTTTTTGGCCCTCGGGATTGATCCGCTAAGATTATGGAGCTGCCGATTATGGAGTGCCCGTGATAGATCGGCGTTTGATCACGATCCTCGTATAAATATGAATCTTTTGACGAGTGCACTTGCCGCGAAACTTTATTAATATGCCATCATCCCTCGGTTTCGTGCATCTGTCTGTTTCACAAAACAGCTAATATTCAATGATGACATTACCAAGAATAGTGGTGTATTGGTT